ATATGAATGTACGAAATACATTGCTGTGTATGCTGTCTATGGAGCGCACCTATTTAAAAACTTTCTCTCTTGTTTGTCTATACTTAAACTTGTATATGTATGTATGTATGAGTGGATGTCCGCTAAAGTACACTTTTAATTTGTGCATATTGAAACATGTGTATGTATGGATGCGGCTTGTATGATTCTTTTCAATCGGAAATTGGTGATTCAGCCAGAGAAAGTAAATGAAACTGAAATTCATTTACATTCTCCGATTCAACCACATCGTAACTGGTTTGCAGCCTAAAAGTATGCTCTGCCAAATGCATTCACATTCTTAATTAACCGTAATACCCTGAACGGTATTGCCAACTCTTCAGTTTTCGCCCAAAATTATGGGATTTTTGCAACTGCATTGATTTATACAGTTTTACATTCGCAGCATGTTGCACATTAATGGCTGATTCACATAGAACTTTTGCTTCAGCGAAACGCATAAAGGCGAAGCAAAATGTTAGGACACTCTCATATTGTTACGCTTTGCGAAGCTGCAGTCATAATTGTTTTTAGAGAGAAACACTGAAAGCAAAGCGTTCATTCTGGCATACCCTTTGCTATCCTTGCTTCGTTGTTAATGTATGAATTGGCAAAGCGGGAAAAATCGTATGTGAATGTCCCATAATAGTTTTTTCACCTAACGGTTGTAAGTTTCTCTTAATAGCTATTACGTTATACATATATATATTTATGTATATACATATGTACATCAAAATCATCGGGTTAAGATGCGAACTAATTTTCGGATGCCCGTTCGTCTGTCCGTGCGACGACTTGTGTACAAATTGAGATATCTTGACTAAATTGGGTACAAATGGTTCCTTGCACTCTAAAGGATTTTATATTGCATATGAGGGAATAGACCTTAAACTTCGCTTAGCGTGTACAAGGACGGGACTCGGACGGCATGTTTGGAGATCGTATAAAATATATATATGAATAATCAGTGTGATAAGCTGAGTCGATTTAGCTATGTCCATCTGACTGATTGTATATACGCGAACTAGCCCCTCAATTTTTAAGATTTCTGAACTTTTACTTAAAGCTGCCATACAAACTTAACGATCAAAATCAAGTTCTTGTATAGGAAAGTTTTTTTATTTGACAGGTAATTATTTCGTGTCGTTCAGTTGGTATGGTAGCTATATACTATAGTGTATTTTCCCACCAGGAAACAGTATGTTACCAAAACAAAACAAGGGCAAACAAAAATAGCAAAGTACTTTGATGTCACTAATTTTAAAATTATTGGATGAAATGTTATGTCACTTTGACAGAATTCTGTCTAATGTTAAATCATATGTTATTGGCGCGATCTCACCAAAGGCCAAATACCTTTCAGCACATGTAATAGATTCTTATATACATAGCGCTATTTATTAAAAACAGCCATTTAGAAAGGTATTGGAGCATAAATATAAATTCCATCCTTATATGCCATGCCGCAGTATTTTTTTAACTCATAATTGCTACATATATGTGTATTTTATATATGTAGATATGTATCTATTTATGTACAATATATATCTTGTAAGTGTATGCAAATGCATGTATATGTATTACACTTTGGTTCCAACAATTTCACTCCGGAAAGTAGTTCGCAAATTTCTTATTCATGCATTTATCTTTACCTTTTGTCTTCCTACAAAACCCTCAATAATTTTGCAAAGGCATAATCAAAAAACTGCAACTCACTGGCATATATCATATGTATGTATGTATGTAAATGCTTGCTCATTTTGCCGAGGCAATTTAATCCGTAACTTCATTTCAATTGTTGAAACGGAAAATTATTTTACTACTTTCTGTTCGCTTCGTCCATAGTGATTATTTGTGAATTGTGAAACAAATAAAAGTAGAAATTTGCTGTAATTCGTTTTTGGCCTTTAGCCCTTTAATGCCGATTACTGGTACAACTTTTTTGTTTCCCCTTTCTTTTTATAGGTATGTATGTATGGTAGCTCCAACGATGTTCATTCAATAAGATATTTGATAAATTTATATTGACGCAATTTCTTTTTTGTGCATCCTTCTTATAACAAATGAAATAATTTTTGAAGGTTTAACTTCTCTTTTGAATAGGCCAAGATGGGCGTAACAATAGTTTGAAATGCATTTTACCACGTCCCTTTTAGCACCAACCCTTTTCTTATTTACAAGTATTGTGCGGATTTCTTTAATCTAAAATTGACATCAATTGTCGGATGTTTGGTGAGAAGTGAATGAATGAGTGAACCCATGAAATTAGTATTTTACGATCGAACTCGAAAAATTTGAAATTTGAATGATAAATTTAATTTATCCAACTAAGCGGATATCTCGTGAAATTTCAATAATTAAGAATTTTAAATATTGCCGTTAAATTATCAATAAAATGTAGGAAGTATCGAAAGTCCGAAGAGGTGGACCATGAATTATCGGCAAACATCAAAAATTTTTTTAGGTGAAATTTAAAAGCTAAGAATGCACTCGAGGTTTATCGTACCCTTTATTCATTTATCTTTTATATTTCGAAATGCTCCCACCACCGGATGAATTTCAATTATGCAATGCTGATAACTGTAAGCTAATTGCTTAAAGAACTGGAATGAATGGTACGTGTTTAATGGTAAACAGATATTTCTCCAACATTTCCTGTTATAAATTGTTGTGAAGAAAGTAAAGAGATTGTTGAAGCAACAAAGTCAAAATTAAATTGAACTGTGAAAACAAATGGGTATTTTGGTGGACATTTAAATGACGGGTTAAGGGAACATAAACAGCGATAATACTACCAGAACGTGTTTTCAGCAGCCGACTTTGGCTTCTATAGTTTCTGGCGTACAAGTAGAATAACAGAATATTCCTGGTTGCAATACTGCACATCATGGAAGACTTAATGCACGACCTATTGATTTTGTCGGATCCACTCATAACCTCAAAATCTCAAAGTATCTCGAACTACTCTAAAAAATTAATTGTTATGTATAGATGCTGAAGTCAAACAGCTTCTTTTAAAGCGAATGATGCGGAATAATTTTCCAAGCATTTTCATGCGGAGAAGGAAGATTTTTATACAAAATCTATTTATTTTATAAAAAGGACGAAGAACTACATCTCTTACATATATTTATACTCTTGAAACATGTTGCTACAGAGTATACTAGTTTTGTTCACCTAACGGTTGCTTATATCACCCAAAACTAATCGAGATAGATATAAGGTTATGTATATATAAATGATCATGATAACTAAACCAGTTGAAATGCGGATCTGTCTGTCCGTCCGTCTGTCCGTGCAAGCTGTAACTTTAGTAAAAATTTAAATATCGTCATGACGAGCTCGTAGATGGTCGTAATCGTACCACTGCCACGCCCACTAAACGCCCTGAATCGAAAACCTATAAAGTGCTATAACTAAGCACTAAATAAAGGTAAAAAACTGTAATTTGGTACATAGAATAACGAGGGCCAACTGTAGTTAAAATTTTTTTTAAAAGTAGCCCTTCCTTACTTATTTTTTGTATTTGAAAAAACATTAAAGAAAAACATTTTAGAAAAACAAATGAATTAACGGATAAAGTATTTGTTAATAATTCAAATTTTTGTTCATATCAAATAAAATAAGCTTTCATAAAAAATATAATATAGTTTTATTTTTATAATGGCCCGAACTTGTAACAGAACTAATGGAAGGGCCTAGCACAGTTTCTGCGCTCAAAATAAAAAAACTGCTGTTTTTGGTACGAAATATATATTTTTATTTATTGTAATATAATCTTTCATAACTTCAATACACTTATTCCAATTATCCTCCAATAGATGTCTGGCATCCCTATAATGGCTTTAAGGAAACTCTGCAAAATACCCGTCTACGGCTGTAAAAGCTCCTTCATTTGACGAAAAACGCTTTCCACGAAGGAATTTTAGGTTTCTGAAGGGGTAGTAGTCGCTGGGGGCCAAATCTGGTGAATACGGTGGATGCTAAAGTAATTCGTATTTTAATTCGTTGAATTTTGTCATTGTTAAAACACTTTTGTGAGCAGGTGCATTGTCTTGATGAAAAATTATTTTTTTGTGCTGCAACCCAGGGTTTTTCGCACGAATTTTTTCATCCAGTTGATCCAAACGGCTGCAATAATCAATCAATAAAATTCCTTTTGTATCCCAAAAAACTGACGCCATAACCTTCTTTGCTGATTGTTGTGACTTCCCCTGCTTTGGAGCTGAACAACCAGCTTCAGTACACTGTAAACGTTCTTGTTTCAATTCAGAATCATGGAGGTAGATCCAAGTCTCATCCATAGTTATAAAACGACGCAAGAAATCGGTTTTATTCTGCTTAAAATGCTGAGAAATTTGTATTTGATCCAGTGTTTGTTGAATTGTTTTCATATGAATTGCTTTTTCATATGTAATTCTGCCTATGGCATTAGCAATTTCACGCTTAGTCAAACTTGGATCTTCACTAACAATATTGTGAATTTGCTCAATGATTTCTGGTGTGGTTGCGGTTTTTGGTCGTCCTTCGCGTGGATCGTCCTCAAACCTAGTACGAACACATTTAAATTCACCAGCCCAAAATTCAACGGTGCGTTTTGAAGGAGAGCTTCTCATACACTTATAACAATTATTCATCAATTTCCTTTGCTTTTAAACCTATCAAAACAAATAATCTAATCACTGTGCGATATTCAATATTAAAAAATAATATGTTAAAAAAATACTCTGACCTGTCAACCTCAAACGGCTTGTAAAAATAAATAATTGACAGAATGTACCAACTCACGACAGATGTACCAACTTGAAAAAAAAAAATATTGTCAAAATAACCTAAGAATTACATTCGCTTCGATTATTAAGGCATTTTCTACCAAAAATATATTTTAGGTTTTATATTTTTAACTGTTGAGATTTCATCTTAGGGATTTCATAGTACGTAGATGGCATTGATTTTATGAAACTTTTTTATACTAAATTATGTAATATACAAATATGTGTATGTGCAATAACTTTTGTTGGCCTCACTGTTTATATGGCCATACATATACAAGTATGTTTAATACTCTGAGCGTAGAGTTTTATTAAACCGCAACAGAGAACTTTTTATATTTTCATATTAATTCTTCATTTCCATGGCTACCGGTTGTCAGTTGTCAATTGTGACTGTACTAAATCGTATATCACGGTTCACTCAACTGTGGTTGACTGTTTTATTATTATACAAGTGAAACAAATACAAATAAAAACTCAATTGTTCCCTGCAGCCAAAGGCCCGTTGTAAAGTATTTTACACCCAGGGAATATGAAACGTACCTCCGACTAGTCAGTCATCGTATTCTTACGCAAGGGTCATGTATACTATGATAATATCCTACGAGATATTAACTGATAAATTTCTGTAAGTAAAAATATAAAAAAAATATATTAATTGTATACTAGTTAAACATAAACATATTTTCAGTTGTAGACTAAAGCCGGACTAACCTAAATGTGTACCGTAAAAAGGGGAAGGCACAATAGACCACACTCTTATGCATTCTGTGGAGTGCCACAGGAGATCAAGCAATAAGTAAAAGGTAAGAAATGGGTTATGTTGTCCATACTCTAGAAAATTTAAGTCTTGTGAAATACATAATATATATATTATTCAATGTAAAAGTTGTTGCTATAAAATAACTCTCTTTATATCTGTATAATCTACTTTAATGTCAACTGGACCTTCAAGATCAGTCAAATCAAATCAAATTTTGACTATTTAATTGGTCTTATATCTAGTATTCCAAAAAACTGCTAACATCATTGTGGACAAAGCAAGGAGACTGTAATAGTCAACAGTTACAAACTTACTTACCAAACTGTCTGTTATTTAGTTATGTCAAACTAGGATAACAAAATGAAATCTTGGAAAAAAAAGCTGTCTTGGTGAAATTATATTGAATAGCAAATGTTTTTAAGAAATCAATACCTACATAAATGGTCAACTTGCTGCAAAACTTCCTAATGCGATGTGAAAGCATCAACAAAGTTATTGAGTTGAATTGAAGCAACAGAGTATGCGGATTCTTTATTAATGTGGTATAGACGCTATCTTCAATGCTGGCAAGTTTTGTTTTGCATATTTTAGATCAGTTTTTATAAATGCTTGAAATGACAAATATAAATACAAATTTATTTTTTTCTTGTATTTTTAAAACATACGACTTTAAGTCAATTATAGTAATTAATAGAAAGCAAAAATAAATGGTTAAAGCAACGTTTTTTAACGCGAAAAAAAAGAATTTCTTTACTAAAAAAGCATCATAACACTATTGCGCATGCGTCAGAAGACATGTCGACGCAGGGTTGCATCACAAGTGCTGCCCGTTTGTTTGTGCATTTAGTATAGTTTGTTCGATTCGCTGGAGAGTACCGCTTGGCGAATTGAAGACAACTTATTTTACAACTGATTATAACAGCAAATATTACAATTAATGTTTATTAAAGAAGCTTCACTTGAGAGAAACCATAGTTAACTGATTATAGGTTATTTTGTCATTACCTCACCTACAACTTAATTCATAGAACTTTTAAAATTATAGCTATTTCAGACAATTAAAATAACTTATATTATGGGTCATAGACTCACTTAGTTTTGCTTCGTCACCGTGTAATTTATATCAAAATCAAACTGATTAACTGAAGTGATACATATTTGATATAAGTTCAACCAAAGACCCAAATTGAACATATTGGATATATCAACCTGAGGATCGGATCATTACAAGTATATTAGAGACATGAGATTTAGACCACGCTCTATACCAACTTCATTCTTATTCAGTGCCAAATCGCATCACTGTATCGGGTACATTGAAGATAGATGAAGGTTTGGAGGAGGAAGGTTGCAATAACTTTCCCTTTACACAAATCAAAAAGAACATGTTTCCATGTAATTTTATAAATACAACTCACAAACTGGCCGACATATTCGACATAAATCTGAGAACATCTCGTAAATTACAAATTTAATGTATGGAAACTGGGGTTAATCGTTTCGATTTCAATCTTACCGGTTCACTTTATTTTGCAAAGATATTTACACATTGAATGATAGGAAAAGGAAACCGGTAGTTTTAATTTCTTTTATTAGGATTATAAGAGCTAGGGGTAGCATTGACCCGATTTTATCCACTTGAGGCACATGGGCACACTATTATTAAGATTCTATCCGAGTTTTAATACTAAATCTCACATACTGATTCATATTGTCGCTAAAAAGTCAGCTCTAAGCACTGGGCTCCGCATGTTCGTTACCTGGGAGCTTGTAAAGTTATGGTCAGATTTCGACAATTTTTAGCCATGAGCTGGTACTATTCGTAAAAGTGTAGTTCCGATAACTTAATCTCGATTTATTTACTTTAAAATAAATGAATCAGTTGGAATTTTAAACTGTTTTATTTTTTATATTTATTCGAATGTTGGGTAAATGTTACACACTAAATTGATAGAGATATCGACTGAGATATCGAATTTCCCATAAAAGTGGGCTATGGTGCACGTAATAATTATCTGAAGTACTATTGCAAGTAAAATACATAAGTATTTTATTTAAACAATTTTCATGATTTTTTCTGAATGAAAAAAGTGTACATCTATCATTCCTGACTTATTTTGTCAAACAAAAAAAAATTCCATATACATATTTTCAGTCGTTAAAAGAATAAATAGTAAATATATAGTAATCCAAACATCTGTAAAGGTAAATAATATAAATTCTAGGGATATGTCAATTTATATTAAAAAATGCTTTCTCCTCATCAATCAGAAAGCACATAAAAGGATGCAGTCCGCACGGCGTCCCCTTGTACGTCTTGCGGGTCGATTTGGTATACGCTTAACTCATAGCGATCAAGTGATGGAACGTATTGGGAAGCGTGAAATTGTCGGCTATGGCTGGAATGGCTCGCCTTGCTATCATGACCGGTTAGATTACCCGATGCCAGCAGTGCGCTTTCGAGAACCTGATCCTGAGATATGTGCGTTGCGTGAGAAAGAAACAGGAGACTGGCGGAAGTTATCCATAGACGAAAAGAAGCAGCTTTATCGTTACAGCTTCCGGAAAACATTTGCTGAAATGAAAGCACCTACCTCTGATTGGAAGTTTTCTCTAGGCGTAGCTTTGATTGCAGTTTCGATTGGTATATGGCTATCACAATCTTATGCTCATGGTATTTATCCAGAATATCCTGAAACTTTCGAAGAAAAACGTCGCAGTGCACAATTAAAGAGAATGATTGCTCTAGAAGTTAATCCCGTCACTGGATTAGCTTCCAAATGGGATTACGAAAAGGACCGCTGGAAGTAAATTGTTTTATTGCTTACCATGTTATGGATCGATTAGAGCATGTTTTCACCTACGAATCTCACATTAAAAACTTTATATCAAATAAATTATGTTTTATTTATTTATTAGTTTTGAAACATAAACAGCGTAAGTCGTTTGCTCTTAAAACTTTTACAATATACATATAAATTTATCTAATTAGCTAATTAAGAAAAAAGATTCGACAGAACTAACTGCACATATAAATTGGCAAATTCTTTTCTCTCTAATGATCTTCGTGGTATGGAAAAATAAATAATGAAGTTGGCAGAAATATTGTGGTAATTCAAATAAAGTAAATGTAATCGAATCGAATGTTCCTAACCATATAACCTAAAATTCGAAAATGTTTAAAATCAAATTTTTAATCGGATTTTAACAAGGGGCCCAGTTTAGTTTCACATCCTTTTTTTAATATCGATGTTCATAGTCTGCCTTTGGAATTTATGAGTGGATTCTGTGGTTCCATTAATGCATGAAATAAAAATATAATATATTATATATATAATATATTATATTAGATCCAGAACTCGCTGGAGAACAATGAGGTTGCGATATGTGCTTTCCTAGACATTGAAGGTGCTTTTGATAACGCGTCCCACGCAAGCGTGATCAGAGCACTGGAGAAAAGGAACGTGGGAGCTCCTTTATGCAGATGGATTAAGGCCGTACTGCATACTAGGATTGCAGAAACTACGGTGGGGGAGAGCAAGATACGTCTTGGTACTACGAGAGGCTGCCTTTTTTTTATAGTAGGGGGAAGCATCGAAAGCCGAAGTGCGGAGCTTTAATCCGCTAAACCTAACCTACTCCCAACCCAAATCTCTCCTACGGAACCACTGGACAAAGTATTACTTCATGGGAGAGAAGAAGACATTTAATCTCCTCTACGGTACGGACTAACTGACTCCTAATCTGTTGTAAGTGTCTCAATCTGGTCATTATCACAGCTGACGCTTCGCTGACTGCTTTCCATTTAATAGAGGACTCACACATAAGTGCTGTCAAATTTTCCACCGAGAAACTACCGCCAAGTGTGGTTTTCAGATTTTCTCTTATACTTGAGAGCCGAGGGCAATGGTAAAAAACATGTTCAGAGTCTTCAATACACTCTGTACACGTCGGACAGTACGGACTGTAGTCATGACGAAATTTGTAAAGGTAGCTTCTAAAGCACCCATGTCCACTTAGCATTTGGGTCAGGTGGAAATCCAGGTCCCCATGCTGTCTATCTATCCACGGTCCGATGTCTGGTATCAGTCTGTGAGTCCACCGTCCTTTGGATGAGGTTTGCCACCGTTGCTGCCACAGCGTAATGCTCTTGGTTCTTTCCTCTCTTTTTGTTGCTGTAGAGGGTTCCAATAGCTGGTATAAGCGCGCGAATTCATTTCCCTGGATGTCAATGGGCAGCATACTGGCTAATACTTCCGCAAGAGAGGAAGAGAGGCTGCCCTCAGGGTGGGGTATTGTCACCCCTTCTATGGAGCCTCGTAGTAGATGAACTCCTTGAGTTGCTGACGAACAATGGAATTCGGTGCCAGGGGTATGCCGACGACATTGTCATAATGACAAGAGGGAAATTTGAGAACACTCTCTACGTCATAGTCCAAAGGGGCCTAAGCCTAGCAAAGGGATGGTACGATACGGTAGGGTTGAGCATTAACCCGTTAAAAACAACCGTCATCCCTTTCACAAAAAGGAGATCTCTTCCGGGCCTTAGAATACTATCCCTTGGGGGCAGAGAACTAGAAGTGTCTAGGGAATACTTAGGTCTCACACTGGACTCCACCTTACGGTGGAATAGGCACGTGGAGCTGACGCTATACAAAGGCACTCATGGTGTGCAGACGTCTGGCCGGCAAATCCTGAGATTGCAAGCCTAGTATCATCAGTTGGCTGTACACTATGATCGTGAGGCCTATTGTTACTTATGGAGCGGTAGTCTGACCATCGAAAGCAGCGCAGACTTCGATAGGTCTTCAACTATCGAAGCTGCAAAGACTTGCCTGCGTCTACGCCACTGGGGCAATGCGCGCCTGCCCCACCGCAGCACTTGAGGTCATGCTAGAGCTCCCACCGCTCCATTTAGTTATCAACCAGACTGCGAAGCATACCAGGAAAAGGGAGGCAGCACTATTCAGTGGTACACTGACGGCTCGAAAATACCAGAAGGAATTTGAGCTGGCATTGCGGGACCGCATACCAAGCTTTCTATTCCCATGGGTTGTTTTCCGAGCATTTTTCAGGCAGAAGTATTTGCCATAAGTCAGTGTGTAGTAATAAATCTCCAACGCAACTACCGTAATAAGAGTATCGCAAAAAGCAGGCGCTAAAAGCGATATCGGCCTACGAGATTCGATCGCTATTAGTGGAGGAGTGCATAGATAAACTCCGACTCCTTGTCGCGCTCTACACTGGGCACTGAAGGCTCAAGAAACACCTGTCAAACATGGGCATAGCTTCTTGTGGCAACTGCCGATTCTGCGACATGGGGCCGGAAACACCAGAACATCTGATTCTAGATTGCACCGCAATTTGTAAACGCAGGCTCAAGGCCCTCGGTTCCATTTATGTGAACAGGGATCACATTGCCTCAATAGCACCCAGGAAGTTGTTGGAGTTTTTCAGGGTGCTGTGACTTTTGGAATGCATGTGATGGAGGAGAGGGCACAATAGACCCTATTCATATTCTATTCTATTCTACATATATTATGTATGAATGTACTTACATATATGTTTGTACAACTGATAAATGTTCACAGTCTCCCAAAGTGGTTTAGCATACGTGCATACATAAAAACATACAAATTTACCCACTAGCGAAACATCAAATAGACAGAATACGTGACACTTATCAAATAATGAACCATTTCCTAATGGTAATGAATGAATAGGAATAAGGCTTTTGCAATATAATCCAACTGTAAATTTGTGTGTCCATGTTTTGAGAGTTAATTCTTAAAACTGACATCTGACATCAAACTGTAAGAACTCGAATTACTTGTATGAGGAAAAAGATAGATGAAAAAAAGTCTAACTTGTGTGGGAAGTAGTTTATAACCAGTTGCTTTGACTACAGGATATGAATATAATTCTCACGTTTTTCACGAAATTATTTGTTTACTATGACCTACTGATTTAGTTTATACACTACAAAAAATGCAGATAACAACGGCAAAAAGAATCACAACAAAAGAATAGGTAAACAACATTAAGCACAATAAACTAATTGATTAACACAACTGGAAGATAGTTGAAATGAGTGCACAGATACTTCGCGCTATCACTATCGTGTGCTTGTGAATGTGCGCCTTAAAGCATTTTTCGATAAGGAATTTAGATTACATGCAAATATTCAGAGAAACATTTTTAGTATTTCAAGTACAGACAAATATGTATGTACTTATTCAGTAGTGAAAAGTTTTACGATTTCTTAGAGCATTTGTTCAAAACTTTTTGAATAAATAATTTGTTGAAGATTTTTTCGAAATTCGATTTTAATGAAATAAAAATTAATTTTTATGGCAACCTTTATAAAGCGCAATGAACAGTATGGAAAATGATTTCCTAGATTGCAATAGAGAATTAGAAATTATTCCCAAGTATTTGAAACCCCATCTACATCGAAAAAAGCTTGGAGATCACTTGATTCCTTGGGAGTTTCAAAAATCAAATTAGAAAAAAAAATGTGTATTTTATTTGAATTAAATGATTGAGTTTAACTTATCCGTTTTCTATTTTATACTCTCGCAACATGTTGCACAGAGTGCAATAGTTTTTTCTCACCTAAAACTAATCGACACAGATATAGAGAATATGAACGTCAGTGGTGAAATGAGTACAGCAGAAATGAAAACATTGCCACGCCCACAAAATTCCGATATTCGGAAAACTGTGAAATAATATAACTAAGTCACAAATTAAGCTACAAAACTTAGGCTTAGAAAGACGGCGTAGCCCCACCTGTAAAAATTTACTCTATATATTTCACAACACTACTAACGCTATATTAATCAAACTTATTGGGAAAAGCTCTTTCTCGTTGTTGGTTATACAGTGATTGGTGAAATCGGATAATATCCGCGCTCATCCTTTCATACAAAGGTTATGCTGAAAACTAGTAGAAGTGTAACTAGTTTTAAATTTCATCACATTTTTTCACTTTCATTATATATAGAAATAGATAAATAACATTGTGGGAAATTATGTTTTAAAGCCTAATTTATTTTAATGCAATCTAAAAAACTGATTTTGCCTTTCCGGTTGTCTTTATACCATTCTTTTTATACCCTGAACATAGTATATTAAGTTTGCTACGAAGTTTGTAACACCCAGAAGGAAATGCGGGAGACCCTATAAAATATATACATAAATGATCAGCATGATGAGCTGATGTGATTTAGCCATGTCCGTCTGTCTGTCGATCTGAAATTTTTCACCTGTCGTTTTCTCACTAATAAGCTGCATTTGGCGGAACGTCCGATATCGGACCACTACAGCATATAGCTGCCATACAAACTGAACAATCGGAATCAAGTTCTTGTATAGAAAACTCTTTCATTTGACGAGGTATCTTCACGAAATTAGGCAAGGATTAGGTGCAACCGAACTTAACATTTTTTCTTGTTTAATGTAAAGTTTTGCACCAACGTGAAAATGTTTCTCCACCTTTGATCCTTGCAAATTGAGAGAGTATCAAAATCAAATAAGCTACCCAATTAAACTATTATTCTCAATAATTAAATAACGAATGTTTATCACATTTCGAACTTATATGAGCAAAAAGTATAATACAATATAAACAATATAGGATCAGAAATACATTTATTAGTAACAATTCGACTGGTGGGCTACTTAATGGAATTATTTGGGGTTATAAGGGTTAAGTGAACACACTTCATATGCCTATTTTCCATATAAATAATTAACTATTTGCTTTCAGCGTCATCACGTACGAGTTTTCGAAATGAAAACTGATGATACAAGATCTAAACACGCCCCAGTAGTAAAGGCGCAGAGGCGCCTTACCAGTACGGACTAACATGTTTCCCTGCATGGTTCAGTATTGATAAATACTTATTGAAACAGATTCATATATATTGGCGGATACGAACCCATCCATGGAATTTACTCAACTTTTATATCAGCAAAGTATCATCATTAAACAGTACAATTTCACACCTGCCTGTGAATCAACTTAGCAAACCGCTTCTCATCATGCATACAGTGGCTCACAGCTTATTCATGCAAATTAAACTTATAAGTTAATATTGCCACAACATGGAAAATAATGACAATTAAAAAAAAGATACGTGTGGCACTCGGGGACTGCCACGGTAAAGCTATTGCATAGCATTTTTTTATCAACTTAGGCAATTATAATTATGTATTTATATTTTATACAGAATTTTTTTTTTTTGATATTAATTCAAGTTACATTTTTTGAGCGTGGTGGTGATTTTTTTCTTGAATAAATGAGAAGTTAATATTGTTTAAAATATTTTTATTATCTTACAATACATGTAGGTTATTCAGGAATTTTTATTACTGAAACTATAGGTTTATGGTAACTGAAATAAGAAACATCAGTTTGAGGCTTGATATTCTCTAAATATCTGGAAAATACAGCGTCAATTGTATTCCCATATTTTGTTGTGGATTCTTGTGGAATGATAATATTTCAAATTCAATTTTTCGAATGAAAAGTTGACAACTGTTCTGATTTTTTATCAGCGAAGTTGATGTTGAAATCGCCAGCCAAGATAAGTTAAATTTATTACATATACATTGTGATCGTATTAGGTTTATTTCTGTTACGGAATTTCTTGATTCGGTCGCCGCTCAAGCAAAGTAAAATACGTAGAAGTACAGTCTTACATCTACAAAGGCATGAAATGCAGCGGTTTCGCAGGAACTTTGTTCACAGCTTATTTCGTGCTCGCACTTGTCCATATTGTAGCGAAAGCCAGTTACGTGGGTAACGGTAGTAGGCATTTCTAATACTTAAAGCTTTGAAACTAGTTGTAGTGTGTTTTTGTGTGGCGCGTTATCAGAAAATCATTTTGTGCTGAAACTGTTCATCGGGTACTACGTGCGCTTGACTTCAAGGGCCGAGTAGCCCGAAAGAAGCCATTCATTAGCAAAAAATACCAACTAAGCCGAGTTGCCTTTGCCAGGGAGCAGAAAACCAAGGATTTTAACTTCTGGAATAGAGTAATTTTTGCTGACGAGTCAAAACTCAACCTTTGCGGCTAAGATGGAATAGCTTGCGTGTGGCGGAAACCCAATACTGAGCTTCAGAGATGTAACATCAGGCCAACTGTTAAACATGGTGGGGGCAGTGTTTGGTATGGGCATGTATGTATGTCTATAGCCGGCGTTGGTAATTTGAATTGTCCACATCTAATGAATCCATCGGCCCAGTCGCCCGACATGAACCCGATCGAGAATTTATGGTTTTTATTGGAAAATAACAACCGTAGACACCGCTGTATTAAAAGCTAGCGAATATCACAATAATCATTAAATATTTTTAGTAATAAGTGCACTGCATGAAATAAGCTGTGATATAAATTTGTTTATGTTTCTATTTTTTTGTTTATAAGTTGTTAATAACAACTATGAGTCTGAGTTATTTCGATATGTGGTTTTGTAGTGAATACATAACATTTCAAATTGTATAATTGCACTTACTTCATGTAAGCTGTGAGCCACTGTATGTAGATATGCATATGTAGATCTGATAATGTGCATTATATATATAGGAAATAAGTATATCTTGAAAGCAAATAATAAAATGAATAAACTGGAATGACGCAGTGGAGGTGAGTTAACCAAAACACACACTTTAAATCTAGAACCACAACGCAAACTCCGTCACGTACACCTTTACATGGCTGTTTTGTAACGCAATAACTTAAACCTAGTCAGTTGAGTCAGAGAGTGATAACAAACCAAAACGCTAAATTTACTCTTTTATCTGGGTCTGATAGGTGTATCTTTTGGTAATTACTTAAGGCACTAACACTTCAGAGGAGAGCACCTTCGTTCTCATTTTGCTGTTTTGTATTTTCATGTTTTATTATTATTCGGTTACTCGTCTTTTCTAAGTATCTGTTCATATCATTATCATTATCCGCTACCGAGACCAAATTTTCTGGCTTTATCTCAATTAATGGTTTGCTCTATATTCTCCTTCATGATCGGAATACACACTAAGCCAATTTGGTATTGGAAACTGTTAAGTCTATCCAGAACTTTGCTAACGGTACATACCGCTCTGGAAAGTCCTAACGTACGTGCTATTAAAATTAGTATATTTATTGTTACTTTTAATTGAATAGATCAATTTTTTGTTAACGATCCCGTAATATTTCTTCGACTCTAGTTAGTTTTAAAGGAAATCATTAAAATGACTAATGCCCTTATTACGGTATTCAACTTCATTTAGTTGAATAAATTAAAAATAAATAAATCAGTAAAATAAAATTAAAGCAATTCAACTACAGATCAACCAAACTCATTTTTGGTATTACCTCAACATGGAACTTCAACTATTTTCAGCCGAAGTTTCATTGTGTTATCAACATAAAAGGTTAAGATTTGACAGATAATTAAACAGCTGGACATTTTTTAAAAGGAGAAATCAAAAAAATTCAATTCTGTTATTGCTCACGGAATCATATATCGATAATAAAGAAATTCAAAACTTCAACCTAAATGCAGTTGAGCTGAAACCCCTAATAGGAGCTCTAATCTATGGCTAATTGCCGTTTAGTTGAGTAATTTTTAAAATTTTTTCTCATTTTTCATTCCACATAAAAGCGTTTCTACTGATGTGATCTTGAGAAATATTTTTCCTACCATAGATATAATTAGGAATAATTATAAAGTACATATAATTTTCTGTATATTACTATATATTAATAATTTATTTATCACGTTTTTCCATCAATTATAAACTAAAACTAGGTAGCTACAATTTGCGTATGAATTGTATGTATGTGTGTATTCATGTATTCGGCTATATTTTACGAAATAAATAAACAATTTTTTTTTATGAAATAGCATGTTTTATGGTGTACCAGTGTTTGCTCACTAAATAAAGCAATACTTTATTTCAAAAATGTCCGCATATAATTTCTGCGATATGCAATAGTACATTCATATTTTAATTATAATATTTATGATAGTGTTGAGAAAATAGATATTCATATACATATATGTATATATTTTTAATTGTGTTTGCCCAGTTACCAAAACATACAAATTTGTTTATTGTATTATGAGATAATTCTATAATTTTTGATAAAAAGCAGAAACACAGTTCTGAGAGTGTAAATTTTATGCATTATGCTTCATTTTTCCATTATTTGATGTTTCAATTGTTTTCGGTTTTATTTTCTTTACGAATTGCTTTAATCCTTTTAAAATAAAAGTTTGAATATTTTTGAATATTTATTTATTTTTTTAGCATTTATATTAATGGCGGATATGTAGTTTAATTAGTAGTTAACAGGAATGTAATTTAGTAATATTTTCATTAAAACTATACTATATAGCATTTAAATTCCTTTTTACGAACAGTATTTGCCAAGTTTTTTGTTTCTAATTTCGCATCGAATCAATTTTAACTCAAAAGGAAATGAATAGCGAACAAATTAAATAAATAGTGTTTCTTTGCTGTTTGATTGCTGTGACAGAATATAAGTATCTATTTGTCAATAATTTCTTTTCTAAACTATAAACCTATATTAAAGTATATATTGACTAATTTGATATTCTAACTGGGTGTATGTTAATTTGTTATTAGAGAACCAACGACATTTATGACGCGAATTTGTTCTTGGCAGTTTTTTTTATACATACATATATATGTATTATTTACAGTTTTATTCTATGCTATAATAAAACGCTTGCAGCCAGTTTACATACTATATTAAAGCGATTTGATGAACATACACATGTAAATAAATAAGATTTCTCTTAGATTTCAAGCAAACGAAAGAAATTTAATAATATTTTGATAATATTACAGTTTTTTATTACTCTTTACAAAACAAAAACTTAAGACTTTTAGTGCACCTTTGAAGTTTTTATGCTGCATTTTAAAACTTTTTAGCAGTTGTTGCAAATCATGTTCATCCGTGAGTTTTACGTGTGATTTAATGCATTAATTTTTCTTTTGTGACAGTTACATTGCTACGGATTTGATAATTGCTATAAAAATGGATACGCATTTATTGAATTACAAGTTTGTTTGTTTGCCCCACAGTTTCGTATATGTGGTACTTCAAACGTACTTCTTCGTTCATCATTTCATTTAAATTCTTTAATGTTGCAATGGTGTATTTAATTCCATCAATAGCTTAAAAGAAAATTAATAATTACAATACATTAATTTTTAAGCATTTGGATTTTAAGCTTCATTGTCAGCCTGAAACCTCGATTTTATAAAAACTTTACTACAAATTCCATATTTTATTTGCATATATACGTACATGTCATCACCTGAAATACAATTAACGGTAATAATGAAAAATTCGAAATTTATTTTGAAAATGAATGAGCTGCATCTAAACGAATTTATTAATTTTAAGCACACAAACATGTGTATTTAAAATAATGAGACTTTTTCAAAAGCAATATACTTATCAGCACGCGCCCGGCTGGTGAAACTTCAGCTCTAACCTCAATTGCACTTAATACAATAATGAAGTTTGCTTCCATTTTGTACCAAATATAGTAGTATTCTATATTGCAATCATTTTACCGAATATTCTAGTGGTACTTTAAAAGCATGTTACGAATTTTACTATATTTTTAAAGAAAACCACTATAAATTTAACAGTTTCTGGTTTGTTGCTTCACTAATTACTTTTATTTGACATTTCAGGTGATGATAATATTTATAATTTAGTTGGAATTAGATTCCGTGCGCTATTTAAAACGGTTTTATTTCAATTTGAATTCTTATTAAAAAACGCTAAGCTCACTCCATCACTTAATCTGCGTTTCTCAACAGCTCTTATCAAGTACTTATTTCACTGCCATACAAACGTTTGTATATAGTCTTAGGCGAGCTTTGCGAAAGTTTCCGTGAAAGCTTTAGAATATCACCTCACCATTTCAAACTGTTATTATTGAAAACTCTTCTCAACAGGCTGCAACGTATTTATAAAACATTTGCTTTAAAATACAATACTCGGAATTTAATAGATTTAAATAACTTCGTTAACATTCATACATAAATATGTATATTTAGTAAATAATGTAATTTTTGCTTATTTACAAATTAAAGCATTTGTCTTTGCATCGTCCTAGTGAATATATTTATTTTAAATCATACAGCAGCAGTTAATTTAACACAATTCATATAGGTATGTCAATCAATATTTTTATGAAAAATGTCGCGGGCAGTCACAACAAATGTCCTTGCACGGAGTTATATTGCTTGCCCTTTTATTAATTTCTTTGTTGCCTGCTAGCAAATGAAATTGTTGTTGGTTATCGATATTGTTATTGTTGTATGTATAAAAACTGTTGGCACTACCAAAATAAATTACACACAAGTTTTGAATTTGTATCATATATGTATGTATGTATATTACTTACTTTACACATAATAACAGTTATATGTAAATTTAGTGTTTTTGTTCTTGTTGAGCTATTAAAAATGCACATAAAACTTAAAAATACATGGTCTATGTCAAGGATACACATTAAAATAATCTTACACACATTACACGTAGACACATAAGTTTATATAGTGTACCACTTTTTTAATTATAACTGTAAAATAATAGATATTTATCAATAATTTTTCAAAAACTATTACAAAACGAAAAAGCGACTGGTTTCTAATAGTTTACTTCATTTCGGTATATGGGTATTTACGATTTAAAGCGTTGAAGAGGTAAGCTAAACTTTTCATTTGCAGGCGCACCTAAGCCGTGTCTACAGGTTTTTGGTTAGCATATACTTTGTTCATTAAAAGCGCTGTGTCCTCAGTGGTGCTATCAGCAGAAGTCACTGTTGCAGCAAAAGTAAACCGCAAAAGTTTGATTTTGTAGAATTGTTGTTAGAAGATTTAAAGTATCGGCAGTGGCAGTGATAGCAAAGACAGTTTAAATTTATCAACTTCACAATATGTGTCCATTTCGCACTATATATGCGTCTATCGCCATTAGCTTAGCGACCTTGTCTGCGCTCTACGCTTTGATACTCAATTGCATGCGTTTGTGTGCTTTCATTTCAACATTTATCCAATGTGAATTTTTAAGCTTGTTGTTGCTCATTATCCAAAAGTTTTAGTACGGTTCCCGGGTATATGCTTTTCGTATCACATTATGATTCTGGAAATGAAACCAGCAAGACTTGCAACTGGTTTACAAAAGCGAGTTTCTGCAAGGTTTGTCTTGTGGATTAACTTTAAATGTTGTTGGCTTTTGTTTATGTTGTTACTTTGTAAGTGTTGTTTTATGAAAAGATTTTGAAAATATATCGGTGTTGTGTTTGAGTATTGATAGAGGAAGGATTTGGGTGTCTGCCAGCAGAAGTGATAGTGATAGATGTAGATGTATGCATGAATGCGGTCATCGGTTATTTGTTTTTGTGTTATGATCCTTAATGGTGTTAAGAGCAAGCGGTGGCAATTTTAAACATAAAATCACATTATAACCTTAATTTAAACACATTTGCTTTCTTGAGGTTTTTAGCAGATATTCGCCTTGTTTTTAAGGATAATGTCAAAAGTGTATACACAAAATACATTTTAAACATTACCAAACCTTCACTGGTGTTCAAATATCACTACATAATTCATGTCTAGCCACTAATATACTCCAATCACGTTCACCAATGTTCCTCGCCATATAATATCAATACCACTACCGTCCTCAAGCTCATCTTCAAACACAATATCACTAACATAGATTGTATAACATCCACATTGTCCTCAGCATTAACACGCACTGCATTCGCTCGACATCGCTACGCTTCGTTTCATCATAGGCGATCTGCTCCATCGTATAAATATCAACACTTTCGCTCAATCCCAGCCGTTTTCTTTGATCATGTGCGCCAACTCTATTATGTACTTGCCCTCCTTGTATTTTTGGCTGCTCTCGTATGCGTGTTCGTACTTCCAGCCCAGAGGTGTTTTGCAACAGTCGCAAAATATGTCTGCGACGGCGTGTAGACCAGTAAGTAGCACACGCTCCTCGGTTTGCCCACAGCCCACATTCACCACCGAGTTGAATAGGTAGGCAGGTCCTTGACTGCCCTGGAACGATTTTGAGATGAGCTCATCGTGGGACGCAAGATGCGCACGGCAATGTACGCAAGAGTACGTTCGGTTCGTGGACGGCAAGTAGGCTTGAAAAGTCTTCACCATTTTGTTTTGCTGCACGCACCAAATACTACGGAGAGCGTAGTGTATATGCCGTCTCTTTAACTAGAAATCGCTTATTTTTTAGTTGAAAACTAATAACGTCGGCTGCTGTTAAAAAATGGAGAATAATTTAAATTAACTTCAATCGATCAAGCCAAGGAATATAAAATAATTTTCAACTTACAGTCGAACGAAAAATTGGGTTTTCGCTACGCTTGCTCTTTGAGGAAATCACAACAGCAACCGCACGACTGCACCGTCCCACCACCTGCAGACTCCAAAGCACTTGCAACAATTAGAGCAACACAAACGGAGCAAAACAACCACAACTATTTAACAACATTCACTTCAGCAATGTGTATATTAGCGATTCTGTTTAATTCGCGCAACCATTTAGTTTGCCAGCTTGCAGCTCTATGGCTCAACAACAACTCAACGGCATCAATGGAGCGTTGCTCTTTATTTTGCCCGCTTATTGTGCGCTACGCTTTATTTTGCTATTTGCAGTCTTTTTTGTTTTGTTTTTGGTTGGGGTTTACTTGTATATTTTATCTCTATTTATCTTATTTTTTGTACTTGTACTTGACTGGTGTTGCTGATGTTACTGCGTTTATTCCAGCTCTTTTTGACCGATTATTGTTATTGTTAAGTCTTCATAAATGTCTGTATGTCAGCAGTTGCCCGCGTTTGTCGGTGAGTGTGGACTCAGTGATAGCTTTGCGATCTATATCTACACTGTGATAAGTGTTTGTTTACACTCTGCACCTACCTTGTGTTGCCGCACACAGCCTTATCAGTTCAAGATTCACAGAAAATACAAAAAGTACGACGTAGAACAAAAAATAGCACCGTTTGTGGTGGCACACCTCCCGCAACGGTATTGTTATGATGTTTGTTTTTGTTGCAGCGACACTGGAACGTTATTGTCTGTCTGTGGATCTGAGGCTATCAGTTAGCCTTAGTCACAAGTACGCGCACAATACCTTTTAAATGGGATGGTTTCAATCGAACTTGCCTCTTTTTATTTTATTTATTTTGCCACTGATTAAATATCAAATTTCCTGCAATATAAAAAGTTATTAGTGTTTCGTTATAAATCATATCGCAGTAAATCAAAGGGGCAATATTTACAAACAAAATTAAATATAGTATTTATATTTTGCGCAGCCAATGACGTATGGCATTAGATGCTCTAATCGAAAAGTAGTTTTCACGTAATGTCTTAAAAATAAGGCATATACATAATATGTATATAAATAATATGTATGTATTACATACTATTGATAACATTCTCAGCGAGTTTCAACAAGATGCCTTGTCCAGTATCGAAATATGGCAGCTGAAGGTACATATTTATTAGTAATTTTAACCATTTTTGGTACCAATCATATAATGACAAATGAAATCGTCTGAGAAATTTACTAAGAATATTCACGTAATGTTATGTACAGTATCATTTCAACCATAAGAAAAATTATGAAATTACTATATGGAATGTAGCGCAACGTAAGTGCCGATAAATTATATTTCTGATATGGAATATACTCGTATGTATTAATATCAAAACGATTCCGAAAATTGTTTTTTTTTTTTTGATATTCGTGGTTTGGTTCATCATGAATTCGTTTCAACGGGACATACGGTCAATAAAGAGTATTATTTGAGCGTTTGAGGCGTTTGCACGAAAACATCCGTTGTAAATGGCCGAATTGTGGGCCAACAATTCATGTTTTATTTACAATTTCCGGAAACTTTCTGGTCTTAATGTAAATAATGCCCAGAGAAATCTTACCAAAAAATTTTACCTAGATATTTCTCAGATTGATTCATACATATGTACCATATATATATATATAATAAAGGCAATGAAAAGGAAAGAATAAGATTTAACCATAGCCCACTTACATATACCAAATCACATTCGACTAAGCTAATGTCAGAGAGCCACTATATATGTGCTATGTTTGAATGCGATACCTTTTGTGATCCTTAAGCTATCTGATGCAGTCCAATTGTTTAATGAGTAATCAAAAAGTGGAGGGTATCATGAGAACACTTGTTTTTCAGTTTATAACATTGACTGCCAAAAGGTTTTGACGCTACCTTCACCGGGTGCCAAGCTCGCTTTTTCTAGCCTCATAGTTTTCATCATAAAACCTGCAGAAATTGTCATAGTGCCTTGAAAATTGGAACAAATTTTTGGGCAGATATCAGCGTACCTAAAAAACATTATAAATTCATGTCCCATCGCACAGAAAAGCAACAACATTGAACGCCGAACAAGCCCTGTCGCACAACTTCGTTGTGATATGTGACATGGCAGCTAAATTGTGTGGAAGGTGTAAAATTTTGCCTAAATTCTCCATTTTATTCTTAACATCGAATTTAGCGTTTCTGGGCTAATTTTTTGCGGTAGTACGAACTGTTATTAGTTTCCAAGCATGGGAATTCAACAAAAGTTGTCCGCGCACGAAGCATTTTGAAGCAAATGGTTTTTTGGAAAAACTGGACATGTCGCAATCATACCAATTAAACAACACATAACGATAAATTCTGAGTGATACCCAAACATTTTTTTGCCAGTGTCTTTCAAAAAATCAAGAAAACCAACCGTCGAACACGGATCAACGGACGAAGACTCTTCACGAGTTTCACAAATCGACTGAAACAACTGAATTTTTGAGCGCTCAAAACACCGTATTGCCCTGACTTGGCACCGAGTGGCTTCTTTTTATTACCGTACGTAAACAATAAACTAGGAGGTCAACGTTTTTCTTTCGCTTTAAGAGTCGGTTGGTGTTTTGCTAACTCATTCAGAGTGGAAAAAGTGATTCGACGCATGCAAAAGTGTATAGACCTTAATGGAGAATATTTCAAAAAACAATAAAGCGATTTTCGATTCGTAGAGGTATACACGCAAAGAATATATAATAAGTTGAGTGACCACATATAGGTGTGTATGATAAGTACATAAATACATACATTAATAATATATAAATCAAACAAAGAAACGATAAAAATTTTCTGTAACGACAACTGCAACAAAACTGACAGAGAACTCGATGACTGCAGTATTACAACAAAGACGACAAATTATAATTAGAGAGAGCAGATGGTAGACACAAAGGCAGAATATGGCAATCGGATCAACGCAGCGAAGTTACAGACAGATGCCAATAAATTTGAGTATTTTAAAAAGCAGAAAGAGTGGCTAATGACTTCAAAGGACAAAGAACTTCGATGCGAGGTGTGGAAAAGAGATGTATACATGTGTGCTGAACAATGGTGTTAAACTAGAAAATTGTGGATCAATGTACGCAGTTCCTGAGCAAACACACTGCTGACGTTTAATATCAATGGCGGTTCACAGAGGCCAAGCGCACACTGATATAGCATATCTCATAGCAAATCTAAGAGAATTTTGTACAAATGAGAAAAAACTTGAACCTTATTGGAAGCCACACTTGTATACAGTTATGCATATTTAATGACTAAGCTTTTTTACACACATGCTATTCTTACATACATATGTACATAGGTATTAATAGCAAGTAAGGAATAACAAAGCCCGTCAAATGTTGCGCAAGAATTCAACATTCATTATTCGACGAAATCCTGAATTGATTACAACAAATTTGGTATTATATTAAGCTATATTATAGGTCATAGACTGAATTAGTTTTATTGTTACTGTATATTTCATTTCGCGTCAGCTAAAATTATAATAAAAACATCCTCAAATTTTACGTATAACATGATATAAACTCAACCGGAGAGGCCCATTTTAATATATTGAGATGATATGGAAAACGTCAACCACAGGATGGGAATTCATTATATTAGGGATATGAGGTTTATACCAAGACCAATTTCATTTATATATAAAATAATTTTATAACTTTTAAGAAAACGTATCCACTAAATTTCATTAAAATATTACACATATTGACCAACTTAAACGGTTTAAAATCAGCTGGAAATTTGAAATCCCTGTACGGGGTATATTGAGACAGGAATAGGTCTTGGCTTGTTACATTAACCTTTGACATTGTTCAGCTATACTCGAGAACATATTTTCTAGCAAGTTTATAAGTAAATAACTCACACACTGACTGACATATTTGGCATGAGGTTTGCAAAAATAACATGTACATATGGAGATAGGGGTAGTATTGACCCGTTTTTACCTATTTTTGGCATTAATACATATTGCTAACGGAAAAAATGTTCTCGGAGTTTCATTCAGGTATACTCACATATCATCACCAATATATGGTATATATAATATACTTGTAAGAAGGAAGCTCAACCGAATGTTTAAAAATCCTGATATTAGTTATAAGGGGGCTAGGGCAAGTTTTCACCCGAGTTTCCATTCCATTCCATTTTAGGCACACAGATGCACCGTTATTATAAAAAGGGAAAAGCTTTTCCCTGAATTCTAATTATTTATCTTATACATTGAACGGTAATTTAAGTAAAAAGTCAACTATGGACACTGCGATCCACATCTTCGGAATATGGGGGCGTTAAAACTAACCGTCCAATTTTGACGTGGTCGTAATCCGATTTCGCCCCTTATATGGGGAGAGAGCGGGGTTATCACCCGATTTAACCATACTGTCGATAAGGGCGTTAAAAGGATTTGTCCTGAGTGAATTTAGTTATTATAGCTTTAGTGGTTTAAGGAATATGCACATCAACCCTATTAGAGGGCGGGGCAAGCCCACTTTTTCAAAATTTTTTAAACTGCATATGCCCCTCCCTAATGTGATTCGTTATACAAAACCAGTCTTGTATCTTATTGTGGAGCTTATTGTAGTTATGGCAATTAATTGGTTTTCGTTTTATGGCGTCTTGTGGGCGTGGCAGTGGTCCGATTATGCCCATCTACAATACCTTGTGGTGCCAAGAAACCTGTATAGCAAGTTTCATTAAGATATCTCAATTTTTACTCATGTTACAGCTTTCACAAACGGACGGACAGACGGACAGACAATCACCCGGATTTCAACTCGTCACTTCAAACTGATCATATAAGTATGTACTTGTATATATAACCCCATATCTAACTTGATTAGCTTTAGGTGATACAGACAACCGTTAGGTGAACAAATCTATTATACTCTGTAGCAACAGGTTGCGAGAGTATAAAAATACATCGAAACCAAGTAAGGAAGGGCTAAGTTCGGATGTAACCGAACATTTTATACTCTCGCAAAGTCAAATGGTATACTCGTTTGAGATTTCTTTGTGGATTGACTGATAGGGGCTTGAACAGTTTTGGTTCGATTCAGACAATTTTTGGTCACAAGGTGGCATACTTGAAACGTATTATTCACGCAAAGTTTTACCCCGATATAATCATTGTTGCTTGATATGCATAATGAAAAGTGAAAGAATCAGATGGAATTGAAAATGGTGTTATATGGGAAATAGGCGTGGTTTTAGTCCGATTTCGCCCATTTTCGCACTATAACATTATGAGAAGAATGTTATGTACCGAATTTGGTTGAAATCGGTTAAGCAGATCTCAAGATATGGGTTTTCACCTAAAAGTGGGCGGTGCCACGCCCACTGACTAACTTTGAACGCGGTTCCTATAAAGTCATCTCATACCATCCCAGAGATAAAATTTAATGTCTCTGGCGTGTTTAGTGCTTGGTTTATCGCGCTTTTAGTATTTTTTAACAGTACCGTTATATGGGGCGTGCTTGTCACCCGATTTCACCGTCAATAGAGGTGCTAAACACATTTGCTTCCAGGGAATTTGGTTATTATAGCATTAGCGGTTTAGGAGATATGCACATTAAACCTATTATGGGCGTGACCATGCCCACTTTAAAAAAAATGTAACTGCAGATGCCCCTCCCTTATATGAGCCTGTGTACCAAATAACAGTCTTGTATCTTATTACGGAGCTTAGTTATAGCAATTTATTTGTTTTTGATTAATGGCTTTTTGTGGGCGTGGCAGTTGTCCGATTACGCCCATCTGCAATACCAATCGTCTCACGGTACCAAGAAACATGTCTACCAAGTTTCATAAAGATATCAAGTTAGAGCTTGCAAGGACGGACGGACAGACAGTCACCCGGATTTCAACTCGTCTTTTCATCCTGATCATTTATATAACCCTATATCTAACTCGATTAGTTTTAGGTGATACAAACAACCGTTAGGTGAACAAAACTATTATACTCTGTAGCAACAGGTTGCGAGAGTATAAAAACAACCCCTGGATCCTCTTTGAACTTTCAATTACTACGTAAATAGAAATCAATTTCCACCGAAATTGGTTGAAAATTCGTAAAGGTAAAATGGAATTTAGTTATGTTCAAGTTGGGTTATTTCAATTTTAACTCAACTGAATGGAGTTGTAAACCTTAGTTGAAGTAAAATTTCAAAGAGTTTTAACTTGGTTCCTTTAGATGATACTTTCTTAAGTATACTTAACATATTTCGTTGACAATAATAACCACAGACATATATGAATATTAATAATAGAACCCTGTAAGACATAATAATGCTCTATGTTTGCTGAACTAACGGTTGACTACTGCTTGTGTGCAACATTACTACCTATGAAATAAAAACAGTAGAATCATTTAAAGTGTTAAATGGGTATTTCCCTCAAATAAATTATTCTATTTATATACATACATATTTATGCACATATATGCAGATATTATGTGTACGAGCATTTATATAAATATGTGCTGCACAAGTCAGGATGGGGATTGAAAAATACGAGACGATCGCAAAATGTGTTGAAAATCACATTAATATTCTTCAGTACTTTATGTATATTTTAATATCACATGCAAAATGCCACACATACATAGAACAAAGAAAGCTGATGGGAACCAAGAATGGTGAGACAATGTCAGCACAAATGCAACATTTATATACTAATATGCAACATGCGCATCTGGTATTTTAGTTTTGCTCATAAAATTTTTTTTGTAAGATCAAAAATGAAGATACACACGCACAGGATATATAAAGAACAACTCGAGACACTCATTCCACGCCTTATCATATCTCTTAAGTTTTCAGAGTTTGCCCAGGAAAAGATTACATACCACAAGAAAACTTATCAAAGTAAAAGACTGATTCGATAAATATGTTGAATAAAAATCGAGAGTTTATTATATTTTTCGTTGTAGAGAATAATAAATGTTTTATTTCGTCCGAAGTTTGGTTCCGCCTTACACGTTTTTTTTGTTCTTGTCAACCTTCAGTATGCTTTGTATTTGCATATCTATACCGAAAAAGCAACTGTCAAACGGAAGCCGAACACCAAAAATGTCGTGCTTGCACTCGTTGAATTTTAATATTATCTATGTATTTGTATCTGTCCTAGAGATAACTTAATGAAAAAACTAAATCAATATGACAATGATCAACATATAAAATGATTTGCATATCATGTAAAATACTACTTGTTATACCTTAACCGAATCGAGAGAGATATAGAGTTATATATGTAAGTATGTATATCAAAATGGTGAGTCGAATTCCGACTGGATCATTCTCTGCCATTGGTACAGAGACACTATCATCTAACAAGTGGAAGGAGCGACTTTGGTAAAAGAATTTTTGGAAAGTGGGCATGGTCCCGCCCCTAATGCGTTTCATGTAGATATCTCACAAACCACTAAAACTATATCAACCATACATGCATAACACACTTCCCTTTGATGTCTGGCCATACGGTGAAAGCGGATGATAATCACTCCCACCCCCATAAAAAAGTGCGCTACCTCGCTAAAGGAAAAGGTCAGAATCATTAAATTGTATTGTCATTTTACACTTTTCGTCTAAATATGGCAGCAATCAGTGTATTACTTTTTAAGCTCCGATATACTGAATATGAGAACCTCAGCACCTATGGCTTTTACTTTTTACCGAAAATATCGGTCAACCTGTGAGTATATAAATGGATTTCTCAGTGTATCTCTTAGTAATAATAATGTGCTCTGGTGAAAAAAATTGATAATATCGGGTCAATATTGACCTTATCCCCTATATAACTTATAAAATGATTTTCAAACGGTTAGTCATATACGGTATAAGTCGGTATAGTATATCTTAGCGAAATTGGGTAAACGTACACTCTTGAAAGGACTTAAATGGGTGAAATCGGTCTATGACCATATAGTAATATTACCTTATCTTACATTTTAGTACAGAATTTAGAACGAATCGACATAATTGCATTAACTCCGCTATATTAAAAATCACTTACTTGTATCAATATTTTATTGAATCTAATACATTTATAAAATTGCATACTAGATTATGTATTTTACTACTAAAATTTTATATTTTAGGGTTAAAGTTCGTTTTAGATTACCACTTTCGCGTATTCCAAATAATTTCATATAGACTGGTCTATAATTTTGTGCGCAACTGTCCTTACATCAGTAACTACGATAAGTATAGTTAGAACATTGCAAACAATCGTAAAAGCAGTAAAGACAAACAATAACTGAAGAGGACAACGACACATGAAATGACAATATGAAAGCGTTTGTGTCGAAGAAGAAGGAAGCACACACAAAATAGTTCGATGAACTCAAAAGATATGATTGCACAATATATAAACGAGAATACAAGAATGCCAGAGTACTTTTGACAGAGGAATCTTAAAGGAATTAAAGCAATGGATATGACTCGACAGCCGGGTCTACGATACCGGAACTGACCCGGATTTTATCCGGCAAAGAACTGTTATTTTGGCAACACAACGTTATGTGTTTGAGAA